CAGGGCCTCTGTCCCTTCTGTGGGAAGAGTTTGTTTGCAGCGAAAGTGTTTTTTCTTCCTGAGTATCTCACCTGAGTGGGTCCCTGAGCCAGGGCAGGGCCCAGGAGAAGGTCTGGTGTACGCAGAGTTCCCAGCTGCCCCAGCTCCTAGGGCCTCCCTGTGTCTGCTGTCAGCTGTTCTGCTTGCCACTCGAGGATACACCTTCTCTGGGCTGGTGAGCGTCTTTCTGAACATGGTGCCTATGGCTGAGGGACCTCAAGGGCAAGAGCTGACACGTACCTAGGAGTAAATGCAGATTTCGCCAGAGCCACAGAGCCTAACATGGTTGTCATCTGCTATTGAAAATATGTTAAATTTCTTCCTTGATTAGACTTTTAAAATGTTTATTGTTGACTTGTGAGTCTTAGAAAATAATTAGTATTTGCCAAATCCTGTGGCAACGAGTTTACCCAATATACTGGTCATCTTTCACTCAAAATGTATATTCAGTCAGCATTCATTCATTCATTCATTCTACAAATATATAGCACTTCCTGTAGCCACTTGGGTGAACAGGAAGAACAGCTGTCTGAGTAGCTGCCCGTGTATTTGAAGGGAGGCGAATGGGAGCCAAGAGAGATGAGTGAGGTCCCCTGAGGCCCAGTGCTGGGGAACTGGAGGATGTGGGCCGGGAGGCAGACGGTTTATTCGCATCACTATACTTATGTTGTTAGAACCCAAACACCTTTTGTTATTTATCTGGAGTTGGAGTCTCACTCTGTCGCCCAGACTGGAGTGCAGTGGCATGCTCACGGCCAGCACTGTCTCGACCTGCTGGGCTCTGGCGATCCTTCTGCCTCAGCCTTCCAAGTAGCTGGAACTACAGGCACATGCCACCATGCCCAGCTAATTTTTCGTAGAGATGAGGTCTCACCAAGTTGCTCGGGTTGGTCTCGAACCTGTGGGCTCAAGCAGTCCTCTCACCGTGGCCTCCCAAAGTACTGGGATCATAGGCATGAGCCACCATGCCTGGCCTAAACACCTTTTAGATGAGAAACAAACGCTTCAACACCCTTTGTGGGGTTAAGCTGTGCTCTCTGCAGTTGCATTGGGTCAGCCTTCCTCTCTACCTCCCCTGCCTTCACATCCAGACTCCTAGTATCCTCCGCCCCTCCCCCGCAGGACCTTTACCTAGGCTGCCTCTAGCCTACCCCCAACAGGCAGCCAATCAGAGGAGCACAGGACCCTTCCTACTGGACCCTTCCTCGTGTATCATGGCCCCCCAGGCTAAAATTCCCACTGCCCAGGTGCCCATGACCCTTCCATGCCCATGGTTCCCCCAGCCCAGCCAGAATGCTAGTCATGCACTGTGTTTTTTCTGCTACAGGTCTTTGCACTTGCTTGTTCTGTTGTGGAAAGCTCTTCTGTACTCTCTTGAGGCTGGTTAATGTCTGTTCATCCCTCAGTTCTCAGTTCAGACTTCGTTGCCTCACGCAAAAAGGTGGAGGAAAAATGTTGTGGCGCTCATAACATGTATTAATTCATTTGTGAGTATACCTCATTTATGGACATAAAATGCAGTTACGTGGGCGGCAACAGTGCCTTTGTTCTACACAGAGAAACCTGAATTGGCTGGCCATGCCATGGGGAGTATGTGAACCCTGCCTCTCCCAACATCTCCTCTGGCCTGGTGCTCCTGGGCCCGGCAGAGCCTGAACACCACGTGACCCCTAGTCTTTTGTGTGGTTTTCCCAAGATCTTACTTTTAAAAACAGGTAGTATGTGCCCACAGCCTGAATTCAGATGAACAGGTATTGCTGCCTGAACCCTGAGCTAGTGCAGGTGCCCTTCTTGTGGTGTGCAGTTGTTTATTCTGTCCCTGGTGGTAGCATCCAGGCTAGCTCTAGTCGCTGATCTCCCAACGTCAAGCCAGAGGTCCTGTGCCTTTGCTTCGGCCTACGTGTAAGTGCACTGTCGATTGAACAGCTGGGCACTGGGTATTTACAGTTTACATTTTGAGAGCTGTTGCTTTCTTAGTCAGTAGTGCAGGTGGTGCCTCTTGGCTCCGTCCTCACTGGCACTGTGCTTTTGGCCAGGTGAATAGCTACACACAACGTGTACCTTAGCTTCATTAGTGTTCTGTGGTGTAGCGTGCTACATCTCCACATGGCTGGGGATGGCCTCCTGCCTGGGGACTGTCTTTGCTCTTCTGTTTCCTTTTGGCTTGTTGATTTTTTCCTTACTGATGTGGAAGTGCTCTTCTTACACAGAGCGAGAGCTAGCCCTTTCCCCGTGTAATGTTTTACATATGTTTCCCTGCAGCTTCTTATCTTTGGACTAAGCTTACAGAGTTTTTTACATCCACTATATCAATATTGTCTTTGTGGCTTTATGTCTTCCAGAGGCTTTCCTCAATCAGGTATTTCAAAAATTCTCCCAGGTTTTTTTTTAGTACATCTCCAAGTTTATTTTTACATCTAAATCTTTGGTCCATCCCTTATTGGCTGTCTTCTTCTCAGTATTACTTTCCACACACCCCTACCCCCACCAGTGTTCCCCATACCTGTCAAATAAACTACTTGCCTTAAGTGAAAAAAAACACAACAAACTTTGGTCCATTGCAATTCAATTCAGTGTGTGTTAAAAAGGAAAGTTTCAAGCTAGATTGTTTTTCAGATGTAATCTGCCCCCCCCCATCATGAAATAGGCACTTGGGGTCTATTTCTGCACCTTGTGTTCTGTCCCAGGGATGTGTTATGTCTGTTTCTGCCCTATCAACCCTGCTCTGTTTGGGATTGTGAGTCTGTGATGTGCTATCATATTAGGTAGAGCTGACCTGGCCTCATTGCTCTTTTTGTTTCCCATTTCGTTTCTCATGTGAACTTTCATACTCAGCCTGTCTATTTTTAAGAAAATATCTATTGAGAATTATATTAGGGTGATATGTTCATTTAGGGAGAATCAGTGTCTCTGATGCTTTACCCCTCAGTGCCTGAGTGGGTGGACACACATCAAACATAAAGAAGAGCCCCTCCCAGGTCCCTGCCCTAGAGAGAAAGAGTGTGTGTGGATGAATGTGCAGGTGTGAGAGCATTTTGTAGCTCACTTACCTGTAGAATGGAGCACTTCCACATGGCAGTTTTGTGCATTGGGATTCTTTTAGCAAGGCATTTCTGGATGGTTCTGTTGACATAATGGTAGAAGCCATGCTGGGTGCCCCCATCCTTCTGTCCTCGGTTCTGAGCACTTACTGACCATGGCCATCCCACTGAAAGTGTGTGGTACTGGGGTGTGTTTCCTTGTGGTGAGCACTGCCTCCTCCTCAGTAGCTCAGGGTCCGAGCTTCCGTGTGTCCCCCGCAAGTCTTCAGTGAGTGCTGGTAGCCGATGTGACTCTAGTGTTTTATCTCAAAAATAGCAGAGATACAGCATGATAGTTTCAAAAATACAGTAAAATTGTACTTTTCTGTTCCTGTTGTATTATTTCTCTTGGATCTTAATTTTTTCTATAGCAGTTTAAGTTACTTGATTACTCTGACTTTTTCCTTTATTTTTTTAACCTAAATGCTTTTTGAGTTCTGAATGATTCCTGCATGAGGGGAGCTATTGGATCAATTCTCTGGTTTTACTCTTGTGACCCCTGGGGTACACCTTTCTCTGGATTAGCAGTGTCCATGCCATGCCACGGCCTCCTTGGAAGCCCTTCGGCCTGGGTCACAGACATCACAGATGCTGCTGGACCTCTGCCCATTTCTCTCAGCACATCCACGGACTGGGCTTAATCTGCAAAGTTTAGTGTCATCTCTGCTCTGTAAGGGATTGATGCTGCCTCCCCAAGCTCCTTAGTGGTCTCCTTCTACTTCTGGTCCCTGGTCACTCGTAAGATGCATTTTGATGGTTGGTCTGGAGCTGATGCCAGTGACTCATCCACTGGATTAATCCTGTGGTCTTCATTTTTTGGAAGAACCAGTCTAGTGGTTTGTCCTGCATACCATGCGGCAGGGCAAGTTCATTTGGTGCTTGAAACAGATGAAGGGGCAAAATGGGAACGTGTGATACTATTTCATGAGACTACTGAAAACTTTTTGGGAGGTTACTCTTTTAGTCAGCTTTGCTCTCTAAAGCCATGGTAGAAAACCAAGCCAGTGGAAGTCTCCCAGGCATCTCCCCCTCTCTCTGTTCAAGAGCTCATTCAGGAGATACTGGGAACCAAAGGCCATTGAGTGCCAGGTTGCAGACCCCTCAGGAGCTGGCCTCCTGGAGTATGTGACGTGATATATTCCACCTTGGGATCACCTAGAAATGAGTTGCTGAACTAACACATGGCTAAATACTCAAAATGAACATCTTGCCTGAACATGTTGTATTGAGAAGTGGTCCATGTACAGAAAAGTGCACAGTCACGTGTGTAGCTTCCATGTGGAGAAGGTGAACTTTGTGCCCCAGTAGACTCTGCATACTCGCCCCTGAGGGTCTGACTGCAGCATCTCCTGGGACTTGGCACAGGTGGAGTCACATAGTGTCATCTGTGTCCAGCTGCTCTACAGTCCCTTTGTAAAACGCATCCTTGTCCTGTGGTCTTACCACCGTGTGTGTATATGTGTATGCATGCATATGTGCATATTTTTTCTAAGGTTAATTGCTTTTCCTGTTCATCCTCATGGTCACTGTTATTGTTCAGATAAGTGTGTGCCTGTGTGTGCATGCTTATGTGTGTTGTAAGTGTGCACGTGTGTATGACATATGTGCATGTCAGTATGAACCCATGTGTGTGTGCACGCACATATGCTGGCACATACCTGTGTGGAGCTGCGTGAGGTTAGAGCTCTGTTCTCTGCTCTTTCCCCGAGTCTAGATGCGCTGGCAAGTGGTAAGTGCACAGTGAGTGAGTGTTGACTGAGAGAGAGTTGTAGAGGACAGAGCTCTATGCAGGTTCTGGGGCCTCCCGTCAGGAGACAGAATACCCGCTGGGCTGGAGTGTGGAGGGCAGGGGTGCAGGTGCCGTCTGTGCTGGTCCCACAGAGTTGACGGGCACCGACCTGAAGGACTGCGTGAGCAACAACAGCCTGAGCAGCAATGCCAGTCTCCCCAGTGTGCAGAGCTGCCGGCGCCTGCGGGAGAGGAGGGTCGCCAGCTGGGCCGTGTCGTTCGAGCGTCTGCTACAGGACCCCGTCGGTGTCCGCTACTTCTCTGTGAGTGGGGAGGGCCCGAGGAAAGGGGGCTAGTCTGCACTCTGTGTTGAGGCTCCACGCCCACTCTGAAGGCAGAGGCACTTTGAGCAGCCCCAGCGCAGGGGTCTCCTCTTCCCCACACTGCTGTGCTCTTGAGGGTCCAGGGGAGGGTGGGTGCAGCCCTGCTCCTGGGCTACCCCAAGGATAGAGCCCCCTTGGGCCTTCCTCTCTCTGGCCAAGATCTCTCTGCAGCAAGCAGCATTGGAGCTTCTTGGAGATGTTTGGAAGCCAGATGCCTGCTGCCAGGTACAGCGAAAAAAGGGTTTTGCTTTTAAGAAAACAACTCTGGGCACCAGAGCTGTGGCCTGTCAAGTGTTGGGCAGACTTTAGGTTTATCTTTCAAGGCCCTTAGATAGGCATTGAGAGGTTGTAGCTCCATGTTTTCTGTAGAAGGAAAAAAATAAGGAGAAAGTGGAATGAAGAAGTCATCTTAGCTCAAGTAGAGGCCAGGTCACGCGGAGTAACAACAAACTTACCTCTATTGATCTTGTATCAATGTTAATTGATGATCTTTTTCTTAGGACTTTCTAAGGAAAGAATTCAGCGAAGAAAACATTTTGTTCTGGCAGGCCTGTGAATATTTTAATCATGTTCCTGCACATGACAAAAAAGAGGTAAGTTTCTTCATGCATCGGAAATGGAGATTATTAGAGAGAAGCATGGTTTCATTATAGGTTGGTTTAGCATATGGTTAACGTCTAATACAGTTGGAAAAGTTGACATAAAAATATTTGCACATGGTTTGAACAAGTCATCTCTTTTCCAGAATGAAGTTTTATTTAATTTTGCCCAGACATAGTTTGTATAAATGCTTTCAGCTACACAACTTTCACCAGCAGATATGTTGCCACTCAATATGTTGAAATTCAGAGGAAGGAATGTGTGTTAAAGGGAAACTTAAAAGAAGACCCAAGGCAGGAGAGTATCTTAGAACATAGGTTTCCACAGCTCCTCCCTACATGCCTCATGGCAAATGCAGAGAAATGTGGGAGGGATACCCTGGCCAGGCCTGGTCCTGCTGCTCTCTTATCTGGCAGCTTGTGACCCTTGCCTCCAGGCACCAGTGGAAGAAGGTTGCCCTTGCCATGGGGCCCTCTTTCGTGTTTGAGTGTTTGAGACACTCAGAGGACTTTGTTTTCAGCATGCCCACCTCACTAAGCCCACGTGATACCTTGCCATGCAGAAGTACCACCCGGTGCAGAACCACTCCTAGGGTAGCATTGCCCAAGTCTGGGACACTTCAAGAATCCACTTAAAATTATAGAGGTGCCAATACTGACTACACTTTTATTTATTTATTCAAGAAGAAATATGTACTGGGACCCATGAGAACATACCTGGGGTTGTCTGGCCTTTTGATTAGGCAGTTACACGAGTAGAAAGTGCACAGGGAGAGGAAGCCTGCCATCCATGAGAGTCTTCTCAGACAGTTTTTCCTGTCAGCTTTCCTACAGGGCCCGGGAGATTTTCAGTAAGTTTCTGTGCAGCAAAGCTACCACCCCGGTCAACATCGATAGCCAAGCCCAGCTGGCAGATGACGTCCTCCGTGCACCTCACCCCGACATGTTCAGGGAGCAGCAGCTCCAGGTAACCCTGGGCCGTGGGTTCTCATGGGGAGTCCAGGCCAGGGTTTGGGATGTAGGGCCCACCGTCTAAGAGCATGTGCTCTCAGGTGGGTCAGCGAGTTGAGAGGATCATCGCCATGGCTAGAAGGAGCACCTGGGTTTCAGTCTTTGAGGACACAGTTGGAACATGAGAGTTTCGGTAGGGCCATGAAGTGAGCAGTTCTGAACCTCTGTGTGCCTGCCTGCAGTGGCTGCTGCTCGTACTGTCACATGCGTCTGTGCTTGTTCATCTGTGCAGACTCACAGTTACATGGGTGATGAGATATGTATGTTTGAGCTTTTTAAATTTTAGGACATCACTATGATACATTAGACCTAATGTTTTTTAGAGCCCACATTCTACTGGCCTCGTCAGAGATCACTCTGTTGCTGAGTCCTATTAAATAACGTTTTAGAAGTATTTGAGGGAAGTATTTTCAAGGCGGTTCTCACTTCCATTAGCTCTCCAGTTGCTTTTGGTTTCATTCTTATTTAACAAAATAAACGTTATCCTGAGTCTGCCTGTGGTGCTAGCAGCTTTATATAGGTGGTCTTGATTTGCTCATTTTTAAAGTGATACATGAAAGGCTGGTTTGTTATAAGAAAGAATAATCAGATATAAAGGAACACTGGGAAATAACTCTAAAGTACTCTAGGGACTGAAGAGTGGAAAAAATGGGCGATATGATGATAGGGCCAGCTGGTGTCTATGGGTTCCCACGTGACCTTATACCTTCAGGGTGGAGCATCCAAGTTACTTCTGTAACTATGTTGCATTGCATTCATTCCCCAGATTTTCAATTTGATGAAGTTTGATAGCTACACTCGCTTTCTGAAGTCCCCGCTGTACCAAGAATGTATCCTGGCGGAAGTGGAAGGCCGTGCTCTCCCGGACTCGCAGCAGGTTCCCAGCAGCCCGGCTTCCAAGCACAGCCTCAGTTCAGACCATTCCAATGTGTCCACGCCAAAAAAGGTGTCCCTTCTCTTGAGGCTGGCCTTGGGTCACTGCTAGGTTGCATGTTATCAACTGAGAGCTGTTCTATGGGAAGTGAAAAGAGAGGCCATGCTGGCTGCTTCTTTCACCAACAGTGGGTGGGAGATGCCACCAAGACATGGACATCCAGCCTTGTCTCGTGTGGAGATGCTCAGTGCTGGAAGTTTCTGGCACGCTTCTGGGGTCTTTTCAGGGCTACACCTTTTCACCTGTGGATGGATTAATGCTGTGTTATAGAGTACTTGTGTTTACAGCTCAACGCTCAGTATCCTTTTGCGTTGAATGAAATATTAAAATAACTTGACATTGTTTTAAGGAAGGTTTCCATTTGCTTACAGTTAAGTGGAAAATCTAAATCAGGGCGATCCCTGAATGAAGAGCTGGGGGACGAGGACAGCGAGAGGAGGCGGAAAGGCGCATTTTTCTCTTGGTCGAGGACCAGGAGCACTGGAAGGTCCCAGAAGAAGAAGGAGCATGGGGACCATCCAGATGGTTTGTGGGGTCGGCCCATGCTAGCATCTTCTGGGGGAGGGGTTGTGGCTATATGTACAGTGTGAGGGCTCTCAGGTGGGTTGAGGAAGCTCCTCTGAAAGCATCTCAGCCATCCAGCTCGAGAGAAGCCACTCCTATCTCAGGCCACAAGCCACAGTGGTGGCTGAACCGCTGCGTTTCTCTCCTGCTTTTTGTCTTGCTATAAAAGCAATAGGTGCTTTTAGTAGAAGATTTGGAAAATATGACAAGTAAAACGAGGAAAATAAATACAAATGTATTATTGTGTGTCTACCCAGACAGCAATTAGTTTCTCTGTTTGGGCTTTTTTCTAGGTATGTGTAGATGTCCACATGCTTTTTACATGACTTTTTAAATACGCAACACCATAGTTGGGGTAGCAAGCATTTTTCCAAATTGTGATTTTTTTTTTTTATTACTGTAAATCTTAAAGATTGCCCATTCTGGACGCCTGCTCCCTTGGTTTTCTTTTCTTTTTCTTCTTCTTCTCATTATGGAGACTCCCTATAACCAAGAATAGCATTGAGAGAGACAGGCTCCTACAGTTAGGAAGATGGGGCCTCAGGACCCTCAGTGGCTGCGGACTGAGCTTCTGATGAAGCCTGCTGGTGCTGGTGGGCAGGGGATGTGGGGGAATGGAGACACCCCGTGCTCAAGGCAGAGGAAGGTGAAACCAGGTACTGAAACATCTACAAGGAGAGTTGGAAAGATTTTCTCCTCTAGAGATTTTCATGAAGGGGATGATTTCCGAAACGAGTGTTTTGCCTGAAGGCAAGGGGCTGGCACTGCGCCTGTGGTCCCCAAGCTTAAGTCAGTCAGTGACCATCACTGAGGGGACACCAGCTGGAGTGCATCTGAGGGAGGCAGGTGAGGAGAGCTCCCCTGTTACTACAGCTGCGGCTCCCGTGGGCATGCTGTGCCATTCCCAGCAGTCTATGCACAGTTGCTTCCTCCTCCTCAGAGTGGCCTGCATGTGCACATGGTACAGAAGAAGGTATTGGCAAGGGCAGGGGCAGCCCTGAGCTGCTGGTTGTGCTGTGTGGTGTTCTTTTCAAAGGAAGGCAGCTGGGAGTTGTAGAATTCACCTTCGTGGGAGGCCACCTAGGGGACAGACCTCCTGAATACCTGGGAGATGAGGGAGTGTTTGTTCCATATCATCTGTCCACTTGCACCCATGGAAAGGGCTTTAAAACCCTGATTGCAGAGTATTTCCCAGAACCAAAAAAATTCTGATTTGGGCTTGGAAAGGACCCTGGTCTTCAATTCCTTTGAGAAGGTGGGCCCATGGTTTAGAAGGTCAGTGGGACTCGGGAACTACTGTCTCATCCCTCTCAGGCCCGGACAGTACCGGAGCTCATGCACAGCAGCATTATTTGGGAGTGAGTTCTGTGCTGTAAAAAGTTCTTTCTGAGTCAGAGTTTCATGATTTTTAAATTAGCCTAAGGTTGTAGTTAGTTCAAGTCAGTGACAATTGACGATCAATTGTTGGCTTATGTTAAGATTTCAAAGGGAAAAGGGAGTACTTGCTGCTGTCTGCAGGGGACGCTTTTCATTTAGGCCCAGAACTGGCATTTTGAGATAAAAATTTCAGAGTGAACGAAGGAAAGGTAGGCCTGCCTGAGACACGCGCCCACACTTGTGCTTGTGACAGAGCGCATGCTGCTGCCACTTGTTGGACACTTGCCGTGAGCCAGGCACAAGTTTTGGAGCCAAGATATGGTAGTGGACAGAGCAGAGCAGGGAGTGTATCTCTGCTTAGTGGTGGGATAGAGCTTTTTGGCCCCGACTCTGGCATCTGTGATTAGGAAGACATGTGTGGTTCCGTCTCAGTGAGGCGAGGTGGTGCCTGGGAAGGGCCAACTGATGGCCGTCCTTTGTCCTGCACATCTTTCTGCTCAGCCTGAAGGGGGCAGGGGGTGGGAGATGTGACCGACTAGATGGGATTTCTGATTGATCTGGGTCACTGTGTTTCCCCCGTCAAGACCCCCTGCCTGCCAATGGAGGCCTGTGCCGCCGAGAGTCCCAGGGCTCCATGTCCTCTGCGGGGAGCCTGGACCTGGTGAGTCACCCCCTCTCTTCATCCCAAAGGCCACAGGGCTGTACTGACCAGCTGACTGATGAAGCCTGCCTCCCATGAAAAACCCATGTTGACAAAATCTAACTTTCATTTTGTAAGCCTGGGTACAAGGCTTGGACATTGGCCCAGGGCACAGCAGCAAAATGCAGGATTGGCCCAGGGCCATGTCAGGCCCCCAGGCCTCGTGGTCCCCCAGCCCAGGGTTTCTGAGACAGTGAGAAAAACTACTGGCTATGTGGGGGAGAGAACTAAAAATATCTCTGGATTTATTCTTACATCCTTTTGTTCTAATTTGGTTAACATTTCTGAACTCCCACTAAGAGCAAAAAAATTTCTTTGAAAGCAGGCGTTCTTTGTCTCACCATGTGAACATCCCATTAACTCCAACATTCAGTGTTTGTGCATCACGCTCTCCCTGCCCCAGCCCGGAGAGTGAGGCCATGGGTCCTGCCTGCTTTCTCTCTGCAGGCTCCCGCCTCTCACACCCTCCTAATTTCTTGTCTTGTCATTTGTTCTGGTCCCAGATTCCAGTTCAATAGAGTGGAAGTGGGCAGGCATAGGTGGGACCTGCTAGTCTGTTAGTTTGTGGCTGATACGAATTTTGGATGACCATATTGGTTGGCATCATCCTAGTTACTTGAAATTGTCAAGCAGCAATGAATGTAGAACGTTATTTCTTCTTCAGTTACAAACACATTTAAAGCTATAAGGATTTACTCGGTACCAGTTAGCTACTGCTGCCTAAAAACCTTCTCGTCCCTAAAACTCAGTGGCTTAAAGTAAGAAATATGTATTATTTCCCCGTGTCTGTGTGTTAGTTGGGTGGTTCTGCTGATCTTGGCAGGCCTTGCCTGTGTGTCTCTGGTTACCGGGGCTGTTGGTCCCAGATGACCTTACCAGATTGACCTTGCTGGCTGTGGGCTGGGGCAGCAGGGCTGACTAGACCATGTTTTTGCCTCACCCAATAGGCCAGGAAGAGTTTGCTCTTCCACCCAGTCCCCATAGTGGTCTCAGGGTCCAGGAGAGTGAGCAGAGCCTGAGGCCAAGACTGGTTGCTTTCTGCCTGCCCGATTTTAGGACTGGGTAGGCTCCACCTCTTCATGGGAGGAGCTGCAAAGCTATGCCAGGAGGGGCACAGACACTGGAAAGGGAATATTGGGACCACCCTATAAACTAGTTTCTGAAATAATGCTTAGGGGAAAGAGGCTTCAGACTACCAGGAAAAGGCAGTGACAACAAAATGACAATTGAGGCAAGTTTTACATTAGAAAAATGTGCACAGGGAGCTGTTTAGAGAGAGAACACAGTGCTGTAACTCAGATCCTAGGAGCGGCTCTCCTCATGGGGTAACTTTAGTGGGCCCCACAATTCGGCTTTTCCTCCTGGTCGGAAAGCCCAGATGTGAGTCCTGAGCATATCTATGCAAAGGGCCTGTGCTGCTCTGAGCAGATGGCTAGTTGTGCTCAAGCGGTTGTAAAACATGATGCCTGGAATTCAGAGCAAGTTCATTACCTACCCTGTGTTTACTTAGAAACTCAACAACTTATTTTGCTCTTTGTGCACAGTATCCTGTGTAGGCTGATCCTGAGGTTTTTGCGCAGGAGGAGCTGCAGGGGGGATGGTGGTAGGGTGAGGGGTGTTGGCCTCCCCAGGCATGAGCAGGCCGATATAGCTGGCTGGATCTAGCTTCTCTGGGAGGTGCCGGCACCCCCATGACGCCAATCCCACCCAGCTGCTTGTCTCCCTGCTTCCCAGTCAGAGGCCTGCAGGACCTTGGCGCCTGAGAAGAACAAGGCCACCAAGCACTGCTGCATCCATCTTCCAGACGGGACGTCCTGCATAGTGGCTGTCAAGGCTGGCTTCTCCATCAAAGAGATCCTATCTGGACTCTGTGAGCGACATGGCATCAACGGGGCTGCCGTGGACCTCTTCTTGGTGGGCGGGGACAAGGTACTTGATCTCAGGCCCTCTGTAGGAAACCTGGCAGGTGCACTGCCCTTGTTAGACAGTAACCTGCTGCTACCTCACTCCATGGCCTTGTCAGACCTCTCACATTTGTCTCTGTTCTATACCCCTCGTTCGAGAAGGGCACACGATGGTGGCCGGGTTATCTGAATTCAGTTGTACTGTGAGGAGCAGCTTGCATGCTAATGTTAGGTTGCTGGTTGAGGAGCGAGAGCTTTCTCTTTGGATGGGCTATTTTTGAAGCTGTTCTTTTGTTGCACACAGCTGTGTGCCCGCTGCACATTGTTCTGCCTTTGGGGGGGGGGGGGGGGTTCGTTGTAACTGTAAACATTTCACTGCACTCCAGCCTGAGCCACAGAGTGAGAACTGATTTTTTTTAAAAATCTGAACTACGTATTTACATACAAATGCTCGCACACACACACACACACAAACATTACAAGTTATTTATCCTGTGA